TAGTTGACATACTTTTTGGGAAAGCGCACTATATTGGGAGTCAGGATTCTTCCTGTTCTAGTCCCACCTTTCTATTAAAGCCTTTTGCAATCTGGCCCTGAATTTACTTTTCCAACCTTCTTATACATTACTCCCCTTCCACATATCAGTCAGCCAAACTGGCCTTGCCATTTCTCACATGCTACACTGTTATTTCCCACCCTCATACCTAGCAGGGGTTGTCAAATATGCTCTCCCTTTTAGAATCTTTTGTTTCCTTCAAAACTCCATTCTCAAATTACACCTTTCCTGATCCCCCACAGTGCCTTCCTGACACCAAATCTTCCTTGCATATATTTTTTACATATACTAACTTCTGTGTATGTTACCTCCCCGGATATAATGTAAAGCAACGTAAACTCCTTAAAGAGATGGAAGATTTCATATTTGAGTTAGCATTCCCCTGTGTCTAGAACAGTGCCTCATATATAGTAAATGGGGCTTAGTAAACATTTGACTGGTGGATTTGGTTTTAGGGAGAGTAGTTTGGCAGTAGTGTAAGTGATAGATTAGAATGGGGTAGGGAAGACTTTGGAAACTGGTAGATCAGAAAGGGAGATTTTGCTATAATATAGTAATAAGGTGATGAGAACCTGGACTAGGGTAATGGCAGTGTAAGGAAAAAGGAAAGAGAAAAGCTAAGAGATAGTTTGAAGGAAAAAAAAAAGAACCATACGCAAAATCTGGCCTATATGCAAATTGGCAGATGGGTCCCTAACCAGAGGTAGGAAAAAAAATCTTGGCTTGGAGTTTTTAAAACAGTAAAGTTCATTTTAAATGTATTTATGTATATGAATTGAAAAACAGAAAATTAAATCAATTAAACTAAAATAAAACATGAGCTAACAGTGAGTTAAAAACAATGACATTCTTTTTTCATGATGAGATTGTTATTTTGATTTTGAATTTAACATGTTTTTTCAATTAACTTAAAAAACATAACCTCCCTTACTATTGCTATACACTTACTGGGTATAATTAAATCTACAACCATAGCCATTTTTATAATCATCTAGATATCTATAGGTGACTAACCTGGCACCAGTAAACAGATACTTTATGCTTGCTTATTTCATTATGATGTTGACTGGTTTGGCTCAGAAGAGCAAACTTACTCCATGGTCACTCATTGTTTATACTTTACTGGGTTATACTTCTCACAAGCTTATTTTCATACTTACATGCAATAATAATCTAACAGTTTATGTTAGAAGCAGCAGTTGTCTTCTGTTTACATTTTCCCACATGGGTCAAAGAAAATGTTATAAATCCATAAGGAATTACCCTTTGGGAAATATCACATACCACAGATATAATAGGAACAGTGGCTATACAACTCAATTTCCTTTATAAAGCCCAACATATTGTTGGCACGCAATGTGTTATTACAATGTTATTGTAATAATGATGAGGATAGGATCTGAATCCCAAAAAGGAAAAACCCTAGGCTTTCCCACATGGCCAAATCTCTGGTATTTGCCTGAGGCTATTATAATCTCATCAACTGGCCTTTCATTGTGGCTATACCAGTCCCCCAATTCTGTTACCCTTAACCTAGCCTAGCCCTCCATTGTCTTAGTTCCCTATGGCCCCCAGACACTTCTCACCTTAATCCTACCTAGGCTCCATTCTCCCTTGGCCATGTGGTCCAGGTCCCTGGCGTTCTCTTACCTCACAGTCCCCAAAGACTACTTGGCCACTCCTAGATCCCTCCCGCAGTCTTTCTGTATATAAGGTCCATCTTGTCTCTATTAAGGTGCTCAGATTCTTAAAATCTAGCCAATAGCTTACTAATGTTCAGACTCTTTGAGAGTCTGCCCAATATAATGCATGTTCTATTAAATCTTGTCTTTGGCTGAAAGAAGGCTTGGGTCAAATTCTTTCAGGCATGACCTTTGTGTTGTGATTTTGGGGTCCCAGTACCCCTAAACCCCTATACCTCAACAATAATAATGGTGTTAAGGTTAATTATCATTAATTATTTCACTATAGATTGTAGGTGAATAATTAAATATTCAGGATCAAAGGTGCTTACTATTACTCACAGGAATATTACCAATCTACAATCACTGATAATCAGCTCTTAAATTCCTTAGAAAAGGATGAATTGTAATGTCTCAGATTGTCCCCCGAAATCTGGAGGCTATTTCTACAGTCATACTGCGGAGGACCAGTGGCCAAGGGAGAATGGAGCCTAGATAGGATTAAGAGTGGGAAGTAAGAAAATGGAGGGCTAGGCTAACGCTAGGGATTTGCCCATGTGGGAAAGTCCAGGGTTTTTCCTTTTTGGGGTCTAAATTCCATCTTCATCAATACTGTCACATGTTATATGACACAGTGTAATTCCTTCCCTATTAGCCACAGAGTTAGGAAGTGATTATAAAGTTCAACTTCAGTTTAGAGCAAAGATGGGTTATTAAAATGTTATTTTCTTCCACAAAGAAATATTATACAGCATCCTCATGGTATACTGGAAAAAAGCCTCAGATTTTGAGTTAAGAAAAAACTGTGTTTGCATCCTAGCTCCATCGTGTAACGCTAAGTCACTGAACTTCTCTGAGCTCAGTTTGCTCCCCATCAATCCAAATGATCAGACTATTTATAAATCTACGATCCTAAATATTCCTAATTCAGTACAGTGAGTTCTTCTTAACCTACTCAAAGTTACTCTCATATACCAAGTTTAATATGGACCTTGATTCTGCAACTTGTTCAGTTAAGAGTATTGCTGGGGGCAGGGGTGTGGGGAGAGGAGTAAGACTTAAATATTCAGTATATGTTAATGAACTTGAACTTATATCTTTTTGTCTGCTAGGCCATTCACGGATACTATGCAACCTCCCTATGAAATTGCATAGGGAGAAAGTAGTCTTAATGACATGAAAATATTTACTGATGAACTACTTATAAAAATTAATGCCAACTCTCATCACTCTCTTACAGGAGCATCTATCAAAAGATAAGGATTTGAACATGCAAGGATGGAGTGGCCCTAGAAAAACTGATGAAATCTTGGAATATTTTTGCTACAACAACCCTCTTCTTAGTGCTTCATAAATTAAATGTGGAGGATGTGTTATTGATGGGGTATACAGGCCCAAGCCAAGATCTTTGTCCCTTACCCCAAAAAGAATTTGGGTCCCATTTGTCTAAGGGATCCTCCTTGAATTCTCCCACTCGATCAAGGAGTTTCCGGGTGTACCCCTGAGGCTATAATCCTATCAACTGGTCTTTCACTGGCCTATGCCCAAACTTGCAATTATCTGTTACCCTTAACCTAGCCCAGCCCTCCATTGTCTATCACCTCCCAATGGCCCCAGGCCACTTCCTACCCTTAATCCTATCTAGACCCCATTCTAGACCTCCTAATCACTCCTATCAAGATCCTTCCTAGATCCCTCCCACAGTGTTTCTGTATATAAGACCCATCTTGTCTCCATTAAGGTGCTCAGATTCCTTAAGAACCTAGCCAATAGCTCACAAAATATTCAGATTCCTTAAGAGTCTGGCCAATATGGTAGATCTTTCATAAACCTTATCTTTGGCTGAAAGAAGGCTTGGGTCAAATTCATTCTCGAAGTACCAGAGTGTAGTGATTTTGAGGTCCCAGCACCTCTAAACCTCTAGACCTCAACAGTATGGTGCTATTATACAGATGTCAGGAAAAAAAACAAAGTGTGAACATCTGATTCTTTGTTTAGCCTCTAGGAATTAGCACAATTGCAAGTATAATCTAAAATTTATTTAAAAAAAACATAAACATCTTCACAAATTTTAGCTTCATGTGTCAACAAAGGGCAAGTCACACCTTTAACAAACTATTTACTATGAAATGGTGGTCCCCATTTTAATCGGATTCATTTTAGGAAGGCTTTTTTCCCCCCAGCATATCAATAGTAATCCTCAGATGACTAGGACATCATGTATAGATGGCTTGCCACAAATTTGTCTCTTGGGGAACTAGAAAGATTTAGAGTCCCAGACTCTGGGCCGCTCACTCGACAGATGTGACTTTGGGACTATCCGCTTCACCTAATGACCTCCGTTTCCAATCCTAAAACGAAGAGCTTAGACTAGGAGAGTCTCAAGTCCCAGGACTACCCATGCTTAGACTCTGTAACAGATTGAATTCGGGGGCGCCCGCCATTTACCTACAACAGCACGACGAGGCTCAGGAGAATGAATTCTCGAAATCACGTATCGCTGTGAGGGCTGAACCTCCAACAAAACCCCCAAGTGAGGGAAGTGCAGGCTGCTTTCTGGCCCTTTGATAAAGTAAACTAAGCTGGCTCGGGGGTAAAGCAGGCCTCGTCAGCCCTGGAAAGGCCTGGCACTGCCCCGAGCCAGCGCCAACACCGAGGGGCTTGGCTTCCTAACGGAAAGGGTGGGCGCCACCATGGGAGCTCTGCACACACGAAGCCTACGTCGCGGGAACTGCCTCCCGTCGAGGCCCCGAGAACTTTAAAAAGCCTGCCCCGAAAAAGTAAGCCGGGGGCCACGGCCACAGGCCAGAACCGCGCCTCACAATCCCCTCCTCAGGATTGTTGGACAGCTACTATCACGGCTCGCCTGGACTAACGCGCATGCGTCGCAACGGCCTTTTCCCCTTCCCCCCCCCCCGCCCTTCTCCCCGCTTCCTTCCCTTCCCCCTCCCAGCCCCGCTGAGAGACTTTCTGACACTTCCGTTTTGAACTGCCCGGCCAGACCCGAACCTTCCAATAACAAACGCCCTTCCCCAAGAAACGCCCCCTCCCGCCTTCCGCTCCCGGTGACCAGACCCCCTTCCCCACTCCTCTCAGGCAGCGAGTCGCCCCCCAGATCCCCTTCCTCTTACGCACGCGGGGCGCGCGGACGTCGCTGGCTGACGACAGCAGCTACGCCGCCGCCGCTCCCGCTCTCCCCGCCTGGCGGTTGGGGCCGGCGGCAGGTGTAGCGGCCACGGGGACGGACCGGGCTGAGCAGCCGCTGCCGGCGGCGGCTTCATGAGTCTCCTGCTGTCGCCGCCGCCGTCGCTGCCACTGCTGCTGCTGGTCGTGACCAGGGGCACCTGCGCCTTCCGCTCCCAGGCCGGGGTCATGAATGTGTGCGGCGGCGGCAGCGGGGGTCGCGCCACCCCCGCCGTGGGTTGCCACAGCGCGGCGCTGGGCACCCAGTGCCTGCGGCTGCCTCCCGTGCAGGGCGCCGACCCCCAGCGCTGCAACGAGCTGCTCCTGTTGGCGGCGGCGGGGCTGCGCGAGCAGGAGAACCCGCCGGGGAGCCCCGGAGAGAAGGCGAAGCCGGAGACGTCGGCGTCAGCCCCCCAGCATCACGTCCTCTACTTCCCGGGAGACGTGCAGGTAGGCGGCGGCCCCACCCCCTCGCTCCCTGCCCCTTCCTGCTGGAATCCTTTACCTGGGTGGTCTCGGGGACCCGCGCGGAGGGCCCTCGGCCTGCTCCTCCCCCTCCTTCGTAAGGCTGCAGGCCGGCCGGGCCGGGGAGAGTTTGCCCTGCGAGGTCCCGCCCCCGGGAGGTGCCCCGGCCGCCCCAGGGTTCCCGACTTATGAGTGGCCCGTTAGGGCTGTGGGAGGAGGGAGTGTGTATCGGGTTCTAGGAGAGGCTGCCAGGTACTGGGATCTGTGGGACCCAAGTGACAGTGCTGAGGTGAAGAGAGGGAACGGAGAAAGTGGAGCCTATAGTAGTAGTTTGAGGCTCACCTAAATTTTGAACCCTTAACATTTTACTTGACGGATTTCAAGAAGGTGGCAGGGTTCCTGAAAGTTTGGGTGTCTCGTGAAAAACCTATCAGACTGTTCCTCTGTCTCCTTTGCTGAAAGCTCCTTCTAACCTTAGGTGTTTCCCAGGGTTCGCCCTGGGGCCTATCGTTAGCTCCCATAGATTTAATTATAATATCTATACTAATGAATCTCAGATCTACCTATCTTGCCTGACACTCTATGCTGACATAATCTCGAATTCCCATCTGCCTTTCAACATCTCCAACTGGATGTCCAGTACACAACCAAAATGGAACTGCTGTTAAACCTCCCTAACACTTTCTCGGGCATCACTATTCTCCGAGCTCCCTAGGTAGGCAACCAACATATATGTCAGACTCAACTCTTCACTGCCTCTCAACCTCTATTATCCACTCTGTCGATTTCACCATTGTAACATCTCTCCAATAGTCTTTTTTTCTCTCATACTGCCACCGCTCTAGTTGGGAGAGGGGGTTAGGAGGAGAGAATAAGCATTTATATAGCACCTACTGTGTGCTAGTCACTGTGCTAATAAGCATTTTACAAACTTCATTTGATCCTCACAGCAACCCTAGGAGATAGGTACTGTTCTTATCCTCATTTTACAGTTGAGGAAACTGAGGCAGACAGAGATTAAGTGACTTGCCCAGGGTCAGTTGGTTGTTGGACTTCATGCTTGAAGAGGGCCAAAATGACATCACTATGTTGGGGTCAAGGTCCAGTGTCACTGGCTGTGGCTTATCAGACCAATACAAACTTGAAAAAGCTCTATCACAGGTGGGCACAAATAGTTCATATGAACATTTGAAATGGAAATTTCAAGATCACACAGCTAGTGAGTGTCTGAGGCTGGATTTGAACTTCTTGACTTCCTTATTGATTCAGGCTCTCTTCACCTCATGCATGGGACTGTTGTAATAGCCTGATGTTGGAGCTGCTTGCTTTATATCTCTTTCCCACTACAATCCATCCTCCAAAGTGATTTTCCTAAAGTAGGTCCAACCCTGTCATCACCCTACTCAATAAGCACCATTGTTTCCCTGTCACCTCCAGAACCAAATTAAAAATCTTCTGTTTGGTGATCAAAGCTCTCCATGTCCTAGCCTCCAACTCCTACTGTTTCTTAGGCTTCTTACACATTATTTTTCTCCTCTGTTCAGTTGCACTGGCCTCCTTACTGTTCTACACAGGACACTTGTCTATTCAGACATTCTCTCTGGCTGTCCCCCATACCTGGAATGCTGTGCCTTATCAACTCTGCCTCCTGGCTTCCTTCCCCTAACTAGAAATCCCGTCTTCTACATGAAGCCTTTCCCATCGCCTCTTAATTCTATTGTTTTCCCTCTTCTAATTATGTCATATTTATCCTGGATATAGTTTGTTAGTATTTATTTGTTTGCTTTGTATTCTTACGCATTAGATTATGAACTCCTTGAGGGCAGGTACTGTCTTTTGCCTCTTTTTTTATTTCCTGTGCTTAGCACAGTGCCTGACACCTTGTAGGCATTTAATAAATGCTTAGTGACTAACAGCAAAAAGTATGTATAGTTTAATATAAACAGTATACTTTTGAGGAAGGGATGTATGTGTATACACACATATATACATACATTTATTAAAATATAAAAACAGATTCATTTCTGGAAAGTATATGGTAATACAGTATTATTCAACAAATAATCTATGCATTGAGCCCAATATAGTATCACAGAATCTCAGAGTTGGAAGGGAACTCAACTTATACCTGAACAAGAAATCCCCTCTATAGTTTATCTAACAAGTGACCATCCAGTCTTTGAAGACCTCTTGTGAAGGGGAACTCACTCTTTCCCCCATTTCACTTTGTTGTTGTTGTTCAGTTGTTTTTCAGATGTGTCCAACTCTTTGTGACCCATTTGGGATTTTCTTGGCAAAGATGCTGGAGTGGTTTGCCATTTTGGCACTCCACCCACTGCACCACCTAGTTGCCCATTTCACTTTTGTATAGTTCTAATTGTTTGGGAATTTTTCTTTATATCAAGCCTAAACCAATATCTCAGCAACTTCCACACAGTTGCTCCCAATTCTGCCCTCAGAGACCAAGAACAAGTCTAATCCTATTTCCACACAATAGCCCTTCAGATAATTGAAAATAACTGTTATGTCCCTGTCTAGTTTCTGAGGTCACTGTCCCTTCTTCCTGTCTCCCCTTCCTCTCCCCTCTCCTCCCAGTTTTCTCTAGGCTAAAAGTCTTCACTTTCAACTAATCTTCATTATGTCATGATTGCCTGACCTTTTGCCAAGGTTACCTTTCTCTGGAAAATCTCCTGTTCAACATCTTTACTATATTGTGTCACCCAAAACTGAAAACAGTGATGTAATCTGACCAGGGTAGAGTACAGTAGCTGGCCTATCACCTCTCATCTTGGACATTATGCCTCCCATTTTAATTTAAAATTATGCTACTTTTTTGTTTATGCTATTGATTCATATTCAAAGTGAGGGCCACTAAAACTTTCCTATCTTTTTCAGATGAATGGCTGTCTAGACATGGTTTCTCCATTTTGTACTTGCGAAGTTAATTTTATTCACTTTAAATTTCATGGTACTATATTTAGTACATAAAAATATTTTAATATTTCAAGTTAAATTTTGTTTGAGTCTGTGTTGAAGATGAGTTACGGTAACTCTTGTTGAGAGGTATTATAATAAAGAGAATGGGTTAATAATTTGTGGTAACAAAATGTACAGATCATTTGTGACATTAAAATAATTGGATAACTCAGTTTTCATTATTGTGTCTTGTAGACTTTTTGTCTAAAAATTATTAAAAGCACACAAGTTAGTACCTGAATGAATTGTAAAAATTAATAAAGTAGAACTATTCAGCAAGAGTCTTTAAAAAAATCACTGAGTTCATATCAAATAATCATAGAATGTTAGAGGTAGAAGGAACCTTAGAAGTAATATAGTTCAACTTCATGCCCAGTGCAAATCCTTATCCACATTTCTGCTTGAACTCTTCCAGTGACTCAATATATATTTATTAAATGCTTGTGGCCACTTATACTTGGCTGCTTATAAAATAGTTCATTTCATTTTAAAAATTCGTACAAATTGTTCTTCATTTCTGTCAAGGGCACCAACATCTTTCCTATTACCCAGGTTTACAGCTCTGATGTCATCATTAATTTCTCACAGTCACCCTATAAATCCAATTAGTTGCTAAATCTTATCCCTTCCATCTCTTGCATCCATTCCCATCTCTTCACACAGCTACCACTCTAGTTTAGATGCTTACCCTCTCTTACTTGCAGTATTACCATAGCTTCCTGATTTGTATTTCTGCCTCAGGTCTCTCTCTTTATGCCAATTCATCCTGCACACAGTTTTGCCAGGGTGATTTTTCTAAAGCTCAAGTCTGATTATGTTACTCCGTTACTTAGTTAACTCCAGTGGCATTGTATTACCTCTGAGATCAAATATAAACTCTTCTGTTTGGCACTTAAACCCCAACTCTACCTGACAAGCTAACTCTAACTTAAGTTTCCAGCCTTATTATATATAATTCCCCTTCACATACACTTTGATCCAGTCAAATTGACCTTACTGTTTCTCACGTGGTATCTCATTGCCCATTTCAATGCCTTTGCCCTCATTGTCCACCATGCCATCTCTTGCAATTTATAGTTTTCTTCAAATACCACTTTTTATATGAGGCCTTTTTCTGATACACCAACTGCTATGCTAGTGACTCCCCCCCCCTTATCAGTTAGGTGTTTGGTATCAATTGTGTGTGTTATATGCATATATGTATTTACACATATACACATGTACATATGTACATAAATACATATAATGTCATCTTCTCCAATTCAATTGTAAATTCAAGGGCAGGAAATGTATAACTTTTGTTTTTGTATCCCCAGTACCTGGAACTTAGTAGGTATTCAGTAGATGCTTGTTGTTTGATTCTTGACTTATCTTGAGTTTGAATCAATCTCTCTATGATGTCTACTAACAAGAATTAGGCTGCCCTGTTGGTAATAAATTTAAAAAATCTACTCTATCTCATATGTGATGGTTCCTCAAAGAACCAATTTGGGGTGGGGGTGGGGGGTTCTACTTATATGTTTTTCACTTTGTTCAGTGGTTTCTCCTCAGAATTTTACACTTATAGGCCCCTAGGTATTATAGGTATTGGGGTCAAGGGTAAGCTTGTGACAAGGCTAGTATAGAAAACCTTGCTTTATTACTTCCAAGTTGGCACAGTAACTTAAGTGTTGGAGTATGTCTTTAATGAAATCTAATATTGTTGCCACACAGAGTTGGAAAGGAATTGACAGGAGTTAAAGCGAACCTGCCAACTGCCCCTAGGTTTTTTGTTGCAGCTGAGGTAGCTGCAGAAGGTCTTGAACAGGTCTCTGTATAACACTGGACTGTTGCCAAGAAAGGTACAAATGAAAGTTCAGGAAACCATTTCAGACAGCCCCTGTCTCAGGTATGTACAACTTATCTGTGTGGAGAGCAGACAGCATATATATGCCACTATTCAATGCCTGTTGCTGTCAGATTAATTCTAGTAGTAGTACTTGAGGCATAGTGCTACAAAGATTTGTTTT